GTCTGCTGAAAAGCACCTGTTTGAAGAAGGAGGGAGAAAATAGCTCAGGGCCCTTCCACACAGCCCTACATCCCAGAATATCAAGGCAGAAAATCCCACATTATCTGAGTGTGGACTCAGATAACCCAGGGCTCTTCCGCACAGCCCTACATCTCGGAATATCAAGGGGGAAAATCCCACAACATCTGCTTTGAATTGGAATATATGGCACTGTGGACTCAGGGCCCTTCCACACAGCCCTATATCCAAGCATATCAAGGCAGAAAATCCCACAATATCTGCTTTGAATTGGAATATATGGCACTGTGGACTCAGGGCCCTTCCACACAGCCCTATATCCAATAATATCAAGGCAGAAAATTCCACATTATCTGAGTGTGGCTTCGGATAACCCAGGGCCCTTCCACACAGCCCTATATCCCAGAATATCAAGGCAGAACATCCCACAATATCTGCTTTGAACTGGGTATCTGAATCCACACTCAGATAATGTGGGATTTCCTGCCTTAATAATTTTGGGATAAAGGGCTGTGTGGAAGGGCTCCCAGTTCAAAGCAGATATTGTGGGATTTTCTGCCTTGATATTCTGGGTTATAGGGCTGTGTGGAAGGGCCCTCAGAGACAACCTGACTGAAAAGGTGCCTGAATGAGAGGAGAGAAGCCAGCATTTGCTTCCACTCTCTTTGGTATAATATAAACAATATTAATATTGGAGGAGGTGTTGACTACCAACTTTCTCTAGTTTGGTCATCCACCCACTACATCTCAGCACACGCAGATCGAAAATAAACAGTCAACCTCTGCAGCTGGGTTTAGTTTTTTTCATTTATTCTAGGGTAGGTATGTCTCAAATAACACACATATTGATGCCTCAAATGTTAACCCTGTTTCTGGGTGTATTTGACCTGCTGATCCCCAAAAATGGCACCAGTTTTCCCCTATCAGAGGCCCCTTCCACACAGCTGAATAAAATCTCATATTACCTGCTTTGAACTGGAATATATGGCAGTGTGGACTCAGATAACCCAGTTCAAAGCAGATATTGTGGGGTTTTCTGTCTTGATATTCTGGTTTTTATGACTGTGTGGAAGGGCCCAGATTCAGGGCCCTTCCACACAGCCCTATATCTCAGAATATCAAGGCCCAAAATCCCACAATATCTGCTTTGAACTGGTTTATCTGAGTCCATACTCAGATAATGTGGGATTTTCTGTCTTGATATTCTGGGATATAGGGCTGTGTGGAAGGGCCCCTAGCGGGAAAAGCTTGCATCTGGGCCTTGGAAAAAAAAAACACGTAAAGGAGATGAGTTACTAATGCATTTGGAAAAGAAAATGGTGCAGCAGTTTGAAGTGTGAATAGGATGATGCTGGTTCTACATGGCCAAATAATGCAGTCTGAAATACATTATATGGTCAGTGTAGAACAAGCAGCCCAGCGGGGAAAGGAAAGGGCCTGAGGATGTTAGGAATGGTGGGAGTTGAAATCCAAAATACCTGGGGCTCCAAGTTTGCCCATGCTTGGTGTAGAACCATACAATAAAGTTCATCCTGCATTACTTGGCAGTGTAGAACCAGCCTATCTCTCTCTCTCTCCTGGCACCCTATCCCTTAGGAGAACAGCTTCTTAATCTGTGGGTCCTGACTCCAAATGGGGTCCCCTTAGCTCAAAGTTGGAGTCAGGAAAAATTTGGCAACTATTTTTCTGAAGGCCATCAATTTGCACAAATCTGTCAGCAACAATATGGACCCTGTGGAGAATGTTTCAGCTGCACTTCACAAAAAAGGGAAACCAGGTGGCCATTTGCAGCATTCACACTTGCCTCAAGCAGAAAAGAGTTCTTTCTCCCACTCTGGACCTTCCACAGATATATATGTGGAAGAAACCTCCCTTGAATAGTTTCCAATATGCATCAAACCTCTGAGGATGTCTGCCATAGATGTGGGCGAAATGTCAGGAGAGAATGCTTCTGGAACATGGCCGGAAAACACAGCAACCCAGTGATTGCCTTCACAACACATTGAAAACCAGCTTGTTTCACAAGGCTTGCAAATGCTAGGGTCCTATTTTATATACCTATGTAACTAGGCTCACATAAATATTTCTTCCTAGGCCTGTGGGGAAAAGGTTTAAGACGCCCTGGCCTAGAAGAACTGCAAAGAGCTACAAAACAAATATGACACTTGTTGAACTGCACTCGAATATAGAAGGCAAACACTAGATGATGTGTTCTGAGGATGCCTGCCATAGATGTGGGTGAAACGTCAGGAGAGAATGTTTCTGGAAGATGGCTAGACAGCCCGGGAAACTCACAACAATTCAAACACTATACAAACTAACCACCAGACCGATTATGACTATTTTTTTAAAAAAGCTAAAGGGGACTCAGGGTTGTGTCGCACTCATCCTGCAGCCCCTTCCAACCTGGTTTGGCCTGACTACGTTTTGGAGAGGGCTTTCCTTTTAGGAGCCGATTCAAGGGGTCCCCAACGCACCCTGGTACTCGGAACAGGGGCAGACTTTCACCCACGCTCTCCATCTTTGGCGTGGGTTGCTTCCCCCCCTCTCTCCCGTGTATAGTAACATTTTGGAGTCCCGTTCTCGAAAGAAACCATCTTCTAGCCGCGGATCCAGAGTTTGGAGGAGTTGTCGAAGGCTTTCATGGCCGGAATCACGGGATTGCTGTGAGTTTTCCGGGCTGTATGGCCATATCCCAGAAGCATTCTCTCCTGACGTTTCGCCTGCATCTAAGACAGGCATCCTCAGAGGTTGTGAGATCTGTTGGAAACTAGGAAAATGGGATTTATATATCCGTGGAATAATGTCCAGAGTGGGAGAAAGAACTCTGTTTGAGGCAAGTGTGAATGATGCAATTGGCCACCTTGATTAGCATTGAATGGCCTTGCAACACTAAAACCTGGCTGGTTGCTGCCGGGGGAAGCAGAGAAGAGTTCTTTCTCCCACCCTGGACCTTCCACAGATATATAAACCTCACTTGCCTAGTTTCCAACAGACCTCACAACCACTGAGATGCCTGCCATAGAGGCAGGCGAAACGTCAGGAGAGAATGCTTCTGGGACATGGCCAGACAGCCCGGAAAACTCACAACAACCCCTTTTGGAGGAGTTGTTTGGAGGCGCTCCACAATCTAAACATTGGGGAAGGGTGTGGGCGAGGTTGTACCTAAGGCAGGGAAGAGCCTCGGCTGGGGATTCGAATTAAAAACACCCTACTCCATCACACTAGAGAATAAATCCACTTTAAATCCGGTTCCTGCCTCCAGCAGAATTCTGGAGTTTGCACTTTAGTGAGGCTGTTGAAGCCTCCTCCCTGAACCACAAACCCCAGAATTCTGCAGGAGGAGGATTTAAAGTGGATTTATTCTCTAGTGTGATGTTAGTAAAGAGAGAGATCCAGAAGGATGGGCAATGTTTCTGAGCCCGGGATTGAGGGCGGCCGAGCGTTGCAGCCCAATTCGGAGTTTTTCAGTTGAGTGAAAGAGAGGGGAAAACACACTCGCGACGAAAAAAATGAGAGTAAAAAAAAAAAAGAGAGAAAAAGATGCCCTTTCCAAACAGCTGAACAAAATCGCACATTATCTGCTTCGAACTACGATATATTGCAGTGTGGACTCAGATACTCCAACTCAAAGCAGATATTGTGGCTTATTCMGCCTCCATACTCTGGGTTATAGGGCTATGTGGAAAGGAGCAGAAAAAGAGGGAARCGAAATTGTTAAAAAACAACAACACGAAATTGGGATTATCTAGACCAGGCATGGGCAAACTTGGGCCCTCCAGGTGTTTTGGACTCCAACTCCCAGCATTCCAAACAGCCTCAGGCCCTTTCCTTTTTCCCTTCGGCTGAGGGGGGGGGGGAAGGAAGGGGCCTGAGGCTAGCAAGGGTGGGAGTTGAAGTCCAAAACACTTGGAGGGCCCAAGTTTGCCCATGTTTAAACGGCCGAGGGGAAAATGGAAGGGGGCTGAGGTCAGGAATGGTGGGAGCTGGAGTCCAAAACACTTGGACGGTCCAAGTTTGGGCTGAAGGYGAAAAGGAAGGGGCCTGAGGCCAGGAATTGTGGGAATTGAAGTCCAAAAAAACCTGGAGGGCCCAAATTTGCCCATGCTTAAGCGGCTGAGGGGGAAAAGGAAGGGGCCTGGGGCCAGGAATGGTGGGAGATGAAGTCCAAAATACTTGGAGGACCCAAGTTTGTCCATTCTTAAGCGGCTGAGGGGGAAAAGTAAGGAGCCTGAGGCCAGGAATGGTGGGAGTTGGAGTCCAAAACACCTGGAAGGAGGAAAAGGGAAAAAGGAAGCGGCTGAGGGGAAAAAGGAAGGAGCCTGAGGCCAGGAATGGTAGAAATTGAAGTCCAAAAAACCGGAGGGCCCAAGTTTGTCCATGCTTAAGCAGCTGAGAGGGAAAGGGAAGGGGCCTGAGGCCAGGAATGGTGGGAGTTGAAGTCCAAAATACTTGGAGGACTCAAGTTTTCCCATTCTTAAGCGGCTTAGGGGGAATAGGAAGGGGGCTGAGGCCAGGAATGGTGGGAGTTGTAGTCCAAAACACCTAGAGGGCTCAAATTTACTCATGCCCGGTCTAGACCCTAGAGCAAAAAATCAGCGAGGTGTTTACACCGACCTGCTCCGAAACAAGCCCGGATGGTTTCCTTTTTCCCTCCCCTTTTGCCACTTGCTTCCCCCTCCCCTCCTCTCTCGGAGACAGGAGAAGGAGGAAAGGAGGGGGGCTGCTTTGGGGAGAAGGGACACCAAATAATCAAAGGGAGCAGCGGATACCGAGATTTAGATCTCTAACTCAAGATCGAGCCATATTTTTTCCTGAAAAGTACGTCACTTTGAGGAGCTGGAGTGGTGAAAATATGGCAACCGAGCCGGGGATGGTTGACAAAGCTTGGCTTTCCCTCCTCTCCCTCCGCTCTTTCCTTCCCAAAGAAGCCTCCCCCCCTTTGAGGAAGCCCCCCCCTTTCCCGATGTGCGGGCACCAACCTGCAGCGCCGTCCTGCCAAAGCCATTCCTCGCGTTGACGTCGCCGATCTTCCCCAGCAAAGAAGTCACTCTCTCCAGGTCGCCCCGGGCTGCGGCGCTGGCCAGCTCATTCGCCAAAGGCTCGGCCATTCCTTTCGCCTCGCTTTTTTGGGGGGGACGGATTCCTCTCTCTGGATCTCTCCCCCTCCCTCCCTCCTTGTTTTGTTTGTTGTTGTTCTGATTGTGGTGAGCTTGAGGAGTTTGGGTTGTTTTCCTTCTCCTCCCGCTTCTTCGCTTTCAGCCGGGCATGGCCATCGGAAGTGACAGCCCCAGCGGGGATGTGCTACTACTCTCCTGGAGTAGGAGACCTTCTGGTAGTAAATACTAGTAAAAAAGCTCCGTGCCAAGAGACCGCCCCTCGGGTTCACACGTGACGCGCGCCCCAGCAGCAGCAGCAGCAGCAGGAACAGCAGCAGGAACAGCGGCTGCAGCTCCGCTTGCTTGGCAAAGACATCGGGCCAAAGAGACCCCACAAAACCCCTCGGACAGGCGGTCCCAAAGCCTCGCAGGCTCCGTCTCCCCGGAGAAGGAAGGGAAAGCGGAAAGGTGGAGGCGGAAGAGGAAAAGGAGGCAAGGAAGCAACTGAGAAAGGGGAGAAACACCAACCAGTTCCTCTGCCCGGTCCAGAACCGCTTTCCGTGCAAGCCCAGAGGGAGATCCAGCAGGGTAGGGCGTTTCCGGAGCTGTTTCCCCACTTTCTTCCCCTCCTGTGGGTCCATTTCCGCCCCCAGAGGTGAGCCTGCTTCCTCGGCAGCGAGAGGGTTAAGCCCAGCCGGCAGCTGATCGCCTGCCAAAGTCTCCCCGAAGGATCTTTTCGCGCTCTCTCCGGCCACTCCGCGTCCAGGCGCTCTCTGCACTGCCCTGAGAACACCCACATTCTTTGCTCATAATCCAGATCCAAAGCAAATAGTGTGTCGCCGGCCAAAGTCTCCCCGAATTATATTTTTCGCGCTCTCTCCGGCCATATCACATCCAGGCGCTCTTCTCTCAGGCCCCTTCTACACTATACTATCCAGATGCTCTGTTCTGAACCGGATTGTTGTGCAGACACATATGATCTAGTTCCAAATCAAATAGTGTGTCGCCTGGCAAAGTCTTTTCGCGCTCTCTCGGGTCATATCACATCCAGATGATCTGCTCTGAACTGGATTGGAGGGCAGACTCATAGAATGACTTTCAAAGCAGATCGTGTGAAAGGGCTGAAAGGGCTTCACTCTCCGTGGATCCCGGGCACGAGTGGGCATCCCCACGCGAGATTGCCCCCTTCCTACGAGTCGTGGGCTCCTTCCTCCGTCTTCCGGGGATGGAGGGGAGGGAAAGCCCCTTTTTATTCGTCTTCCCAAAGAAGAGGCTCACTCTCCGTGGATGACGGGCACGAGTGGGCATCCCCACGCGAGATTGCCTCCTCCCCGCGTGTCGTGGGCTCCTTCCTCCGTCTACCGGGGCAGAGAAGGAGGGAAAGTCCTTTCTTCGTCTTCCCAAAGAAGGGGCTTGCTCTCCATGAATGCCAGGCACGAGTGGGCACCCCACGCGAGATCGCCTCCTTTCTTCACGCGAGTTGTGGGATCCTTCGTCTTTCGGAACAGGAAGGGAGGGACAGGCCTTTCTTATTCGTCTTCCCAATGAAGGGGGCTCGCTCTCAGTTGATTCCGGGCACGAGTGGGCATTCCCCACGCGAGATCGCCTCCTTCACGCGTGTCGTGGGCTCCTTCCTCCGTCTTCCGGGGCAGAGAGGGAGGGAAAGGCCTTTCTTCTTCCTCTGCCACAGCTTGGGAACCATTTGAACCGCCGAGGAAGATCGATGCAGTTTGACCTGTCCTTGAGCCTTCTGTGGTGCGCCGCCGAACTTGACTTCCCTTGATTCCATAGCGGTGTCAAACTGCGTTAGTCCTGCAGTATAAACGCACTGGCAACAAGAGACAACACCGGCAAAACCGGCTGCTGAACAAACAACATGCAAGTCCACAGAGCCGGCCTTTCCTTCTGTCCATTCCTGGGTGGCTTTCCTCTTCTCCGCCGCTCCTTCTCCCTTCTTCTGTCCATTCATTCCTGGGTGGCTTCTCCTTGCTCTCCTTTCCTTCCTTCTTCCTTCCTTCTCTCAATCTCTTTCAATCTCTCTCCTTGCTTTCCCCTCCCTTTCGCCAACTTCTAACCCTCGGCAGCTTTTTTTGAAAAAGGAAAAACATTTGAGCGCTCTTTGACTTGAAACACCCGCCCACATTTTAACGGCAGAGATTTAAGGAGGCGCCACAGAGTTGCCGGCAGAAAAGAAAAGAGAGAGAAAAAGCCAGAAAGGAGAAGAGAAGCAGGAAGGCCTGGGCGGGGGCGAGCCTGGGACGCAGAGACGGAGTTTGGACTACAACTCCCACCATTCCTAACAGCCTCGGGCCCTTTCCTTTCCCCCCTCGGCCGCTTAAGCGGCTGAGGGGAAAAGGAAGGGGCCCGAGGCTGTTAGGAATGGTGGGAGTTGAAGTCCAAAGCACCTGGAGTTCTGGTTTTGACAGCCTCCTTAGCTTGCTGTCTCTGCCAAAGAGAACCACAGCTCTCATGAGTCTATAGCACGACTGAGCCACGGCAGTCCCAAGTATTGTATTGCACTGTGGAAGAGCCCTGGCGTGGATTTGCAACCAGCTCAACCGGTGGGGAGGAGGGGAAGAGGCTCGGAGCGTGGGCGGGGCCCAAAGTTAAGGCTACGTGGAATGACTGGCCGTGCCCTCCGCGCCACAAGCCTCTCTCCTCCCCTCCCCCCCCCCCCCGCCAATAGCTGCAGCCCAGTTGTGGCCTGGGAAAGGTAGCTCAAAGGAGGCAGGTGAGAGGCTCTGTCTCTGGCGGAGTCAGCGGAGAGCTAGCTGCATTAAATCACTACTAGTACTGACCGAGAGGTCATGAGTTCGAAGCCAGCCCGGTCGGAGAGGAGTGAGCTTCCGGCCATTAGTCTAGCTTGCTGTCGACCTTTACAGCCGAAAGACAATTGCATCTGTCAAGTAGGAAATTTAGGTACCACTTTATGCAAGGAGCAGGCCCGTAGCCAGGATTTTGATTCGGGGGGGGGGGGGGGGGGGGGGGGCTGAGTCTGAGTGAAAGAGGGTCTACCCTAGCAAACCTTTTGTATCATTACCCAATACCCCCATGAATTATTTATTTATTTATTTATTTATTTACTTTGCTTCTATACCGCTGTTCTCAGCCCAAGGGCGACTCACAGCGGTGTACAACATGGGAAGAACAAAATACAAAACACAGTATAAAAACAATTCTCAATCCATTATGCAAAAACATTATACAAAAAGCATTATACAAAACATTGTCATTACTACATTGTCATTACCAATACCCCCATGCATATGGGATATATTGAGCATGGTGATCAGATCATTATATGAATAAACATAACAGTTGAAAGAATGTACCAGTAAGGCTTTCTTGCAGACCACCATGAGAATTTCGGGGGAGGGGGTGAAGCCCCTCAAGCCCCCCCCCCCCACTACATGCCTGGCAAGGAGGCTAATTTAATTAATTTGCTTTATGCAGGGAAGCTAGGACCAGGCTGTGGTGCACTCAGCTGAGAGCTAGCAGCATTAAATCACTACTGACTGAGAGGTCATGAGTTCAAAGTGTAGTGAGCTTCCAGCCATTAGTCTAGCTTGCTGTCGACCTTTATTTATTTATTTACCATATTTATATACCGCATTTCTCAGCCCGAAGACAACTCAGGGTGGTTTACAATCAGCAATATTAAATGTCCCCAGCAACATAAAATATTATTTATTTATTTACTTTCTTTATATATCGCTTTTCTCAGCCGTCAGGCGACTCAAAGCGGTGAACAACATCGATACAAAACATCACGAGGCAAGTATAGGGCAATTAAAAACAATTGTGACATAAATCATTAAACATCAGTATAACAATCATTAGCGCCTCAACAGTAAAATCAGAATCCAGTCTCATCATCCATTATTCCGTATTCCTATGTTCAATTACACTGTTTAATCAAATACTTGTTCGAACAGCCAGGTCTTCACTTTCCTCTGAAACGCCAGCAGGGAGGGGGGCGATCTGATATCTGCAGGCAGGGCATTCCACAGCCGAGGGGCCACCACTGAGAAGGCCCTGTCTCTCGTCCCCACCAAGCGCACCTGTGATGCAGGCAGGACAGAGAGCAAGGCCTCCTCGGATGATCTTAGTGTCCTAATATTATTAAAACATCAACATATAATATAAACATATAAAACAATAGAGATAAAAAACCCCAATAAAACATAAGTCCTCAACATCTTATTACTAAAATCATTTTCCAGTCATATCATCCAATCGTTCCGTGGATCTAAATTAGGCTGTTACACTGCATCTGCAAATGCTTGCTCAGAAAGCCAGGTTTTAACTCTTTTTTTGAAATATCCCTAGGGAAGGTGTTCCATAGCTGAGGGGCCACCGCTGAGAAGGCCCTGTCTTTTGTTCCCGCCAGTCGCATCTGCGAAGGAGGCAGGACTGAGAGCAGGTTTTGCAGTCCAAAAGACAGTTGCAGCCCAAAAGACAGTTGCATCTGTCAAGTAGGAAATTTAGGTACTGCTTTATGCAAGGAGGCTAATTTAATAATTTATTACACCATAAAACCTTTCAGCGGCATGCAGAAGAATGAGGAAGTCCTCCATCAAAGAACTCAGTCACAAATGGACGGTGAAGTGGCAGCTCCCCCTGTGGCAGGAATCAAGCATACCCTCATGAAGCCGGAATACCTGGTATGTTAAATTGCCTTTGTGTCTGTCTACATATGTTGTATGGCATTAAATGTTTGTCATTGTAATCCGCCCTGAGTCCCCTGCAGGGTGAGAAGGGCGGAATATAAATACTGTAATAAAAATAATAAATAATCATTGTCTCTAAGGAGGCAGCCCAGGCTGAAGTGGGGTCCCACGTCACAACGGCTCTGGGATTGAGCAAACAAAGAAACCTGTGCTCCTTCCAGCAACCTTTTGCGCCAACCACACTCTGAAGGGAAACAAAAAAGCAAGGCAGAGTGCAACCACACTCTAGGGCAGGCATGGGCAAACTTCAGCCCTCCAGGTGTTTTGGACTTCAACTCTTAGAAATTGTGGGAG